TAGATTATTAATCAAGAAAATGACAACCTTTAGTGCTGGGCACTGCAGTAGACATAATCAATTCAAAACAAACAATTCTAAGTTAACTCTAAGCACTGCAAACACACTTAATCATGACAGACTCATGCCAGACATTCCCTCTGCACGCTCAGCTTAAGTGCCAAGTCTAGAGTCTCAAGTCTTAGGGTTTAAGTCCAGCAGATGCACACTTACTCAGGCTGCCGTGATCAGGTCGGGAACTCATGGAGGCTTCTCCTGGGGTGGAGCTGATGGCTGGCTGAGGAGAGAGTCCTAAAGAGAAGTCACCATTCTCACCAGGGTCTTCACTCTTGGTTTTGTCAGGGTTGTAGAGAGTGGCTTGTCCTTAGCAGGCTATGCCTGATTCATATTGGAGGGCTCTGGAGGCTGTGCCTGGTGGACCTGCAGGTTTATTTTAAACTGGAGTTATTTAGGCTGAGGCCATTCTTAGGTTAATGCCATCCTTACAGTTATATAGGCTTCATTTGGTGGTGACAGGAGGGTAGTTTCTGGGGTTCATTGCATTGGGGTTGGCTGATACCTTAGAGTGCGACAGGAGTGTGAGTAGAGAATTTCCTGGGGCTTATGGTATTGGGGTCTGGTGCCAGTCAGGTTCTTTTTGTGCTACTTCCCTCTGGCTGAGGCCTGGACTTTTAAATGACAAAAGTTTCAATTTTACCCCAGAGAAGGAGGACAGGTGGGGGAACAGTTGCAAATAGTGGCAATGTCCTTGGACTTATTATTCTGAATATCCTTCAGTCTCTCTAGCCAAAATTCTGACACCAAGCCAAAGCTAAGATGTTTATCTGACCTGAGAAAACAGGAGAGAAATAATAGCCAATTCCCAAACAGGCCAGTTTTAGCCAACACGATAAGTCTCCCTTGTGTGTGTGTGTGTGTGTGTGTGTTGCTGGGGATAGAACCCAGGGTCTTGTGCATGCAAGGAAAGTACTCTACCAACTGAGCTATATCTTCAGCCCCAAGTCTCCCCTGTTTTAACCTGTGTAAGGAAAGTTGATGAACTCAGCCTAATTCCATTTTAAGATTGGGAGCCATCTTGTCACAAAGTCATGAAAAGATAATTTCTATTTTATTATAAATTACTGAGATTTCTAAACTTGTTTGAAATTCCTGGCCATGCTCTGAACACACCCATTCCTGGCTCCCTTTAATCAAATAACAACCCTCTCTAAAACCTTAGTGGTGCCTCATAAATCCTGGCTCCCCTTGATCAGATAACAACTCTCTCTGAAACCTCAGCAGCACCTCGTAAATTCTGATGTTGGGATCTGAATTTACTCCCTACCTTGAAATATCATGCCATGTAGATCATTAAGCTGCTATCTGCCCTTGTAATATGTTTGCCAGAACCCTGTTGGCTGTAAGTTCCCCAAACACCCCCCCTTTGTCACTTTTTATGCTATATAAACCTTTTCTTTCCTGAGAGCTGGGCTGATCTCTAGCCCGGCTTTGAAAGACACAGCCGCTGGCCAGCTTTTGTGTACACAATACAAACTTGCTTTAATTTGATTTAAAATTGGAGTCAGTGGTCTTATCTTTGCGTCCTGGTTCAACAGAGTAACTTTGAAACAACTAATCTGCTTTCTGTTTCCTCTTTCTGCTTTCCTTAACTTTGGTTTGTCTAGAAAGTCAACCTCCCCTGCTCAGTTTATCAGAATGTTCATTCCATTTTATGGTATGAAGTGTTTCCTGATTTTAGAATCATGAAGCAAATTGAGATCTTACAGTATTTTTGTGTTTTGACATATTCCAAAGTGGATTCTTGATTGAGAGTGTATTGTCAGGTGGCCACAGAGGAACATGCCTGTAATCCCAGCAGCTCAGCTCTGGAGGCTGAGCCAGGAGAATCTTGAGTTCAAAGTCAGCCTCAGCAAGGTGAGGTGCTAAGTAACTCAGTGAGACCTTTTCTCTAAATGAAATACAAAATGGGGCTGGGGATGTGGCTCAGTGGTCGAGTGCCCCTGAGTTCAAGCCCCAGTACCCCCCCCCAAAAAATGTGTAGAGTCAAGTCCAGTGTAGTGGTGCACGCCTGCAGTTCCAGAGACTCAGGAAGCTGTGGGAGATCTCAAGTTTGAGGCCAGCCTGAGCAATTCAACAACCCCATCTCAAAATAGAAAGGGCTGGGGATGTAGCTCAGTGGTAGACCTGCGTTCAATCCTCATACCGTAGGGATGAAAGTGTGTGGAGAGTCAGGTTAGGGTTTGAGTTCTGCATATCTCTGCCTGTCTTTGACTTCCCTTCCCTGAACCCCAGTGTCTACATCTGTATATCAGGCAAAGATTTTTTTCTCTGGCAGGATTTAGTCAGGGATAAGTGATATAAAGCTTGTAAAGTGAGTAGTACAAAGGTGGCGTTTAGTAGACGCTCAACAGAACAACTAGTTTTGAAAAGTAGGAAGAAATGAGCACAAGAAAACTATCATCGTTCAGAAGACTAGATTTCTGCCAGTGTTTTTTCTTGGTGGGATGTGACAGGGTGGGAGGGAGGGAAGGGGGGCTTGGAGACTGTGTAAGGTAGGCTTGGTCGGATGAGACACACGCCTTTGGAAGGTAAGCGCCAGATCCGAGTCTCCGGGAGGAATGGGAGCGGAGGCAGGCGGCTAGAGGGAGCCTCACGCTGGACGGGGCTGAACGCGTCAGGACAGACAGGGCTCTAGGCCGGGCTTTCCCTTTTGCTAGTCGTGTGAGTGCCCGAGTCTCTATAAAAGAGGGTCATCGTGCCGAAGGCAGGGAGAGGAGAAGGTGCAAAATCGCTTACAGTTACCTGCACGCGGCAGCGCGGGCCGCAGGAGGGCCCCCGAAGGGCAGCCCCGACTCAGGGGCGGAGCAGTGGCCTCGGGGTTGACCCGAGGGCGGGGCAAGGGTAAGTAGGCGGCATTGGTGTGGGGGCGGTTCCAGGGGGCGGGGAAGTGACGTAACCGCACGCAGGGGGCGGGGTTAAGGCTCAAGGGCGGAGAATGACGTGGGGGCAGGTCCTGGGCGGGGCGAGGGCGGAGCAGCGTCATGGGTCGGGTTGTGGGGCGGGGCGATAGGCTGGGGGCGGAGCCAAGTGGGCTCGGAAGTAGCTGTGGCTCGGCCTAGGGGCGGGCTCCCGGGACGCGGTGCGGTGCGGGGGCGGGGCCTGCGGAGGGCGCGAGGCGATGGAGGGGCGGGGCCTGCGGGGCGCGGGGCGCGGCCCGGCTGCCCGGAAGCTGGCAGGGTCCCGGGTCCAGCGTTCTGCCGGCCATGGATGAAGCGGACCGGCAGCTCCTGCGGCGCTGCCGGGTGCGCTTGGTGAGCGAGCTGCAGGTGGCCCCGCTCTGGGACGCTCTGCTGAGTCGCGAGCTCTTCACGCCCGACATGGTCGAGGACATCCAGGTACGCGTGTGTCCCTGCTCGTCTGCGTTCTCTGCTCCTTGCGCGGCGCGTGGACGTTCACGTCTCTGGTGGGAACCGCGAGGATGTGCCAAGAAGGCTGTAGAAGCCACCCCTTGGCCTAAAGGCCCCCTCCCGCCCTCCTCTCTCCGCGTTGCACATGCGGTGCCCATCCCTCTTGGGGAGACCTCGAAATCCTGCAACAGAACCAGAGAATCCCAGGCCCCCCTGGTTGCGGTCTGCTAAGGAGATTCGACGCCCCGCACGCGTGTCTTGTGAGGAGGAGGCTGTGTGTTTTCATTCGGTAGCACAGAGGTTCTGGACGCCCACTGCTGTCCCCTGAGAGAGTCAGATCCTCTGAGAAATGGGGCAGCAGTGATATAGCCCGAGGACGAAGCGAAACGGTATGTGAAATGGGGCGGCGCCAGGCGCAGAGTGCCCGTGCCCTTGTCACCCACCTCCTGCATGAAGTGAGAGGTTTTGAAAATGACAGGCCCTGATGTGGGGGATGGATGGACTAATAAAGGCAAACTTGAGGCTTTCTAAACAAGCACTTTCACATCTTTGCCCAGTTTGAGCCTCACCACAGGCCTGTAAAGATACAGGAAGGAGTATTTCCTGCCATGATGTGAGGTGGGTGTGAATGGCCAGCTGGAGGCCCCTGGCTGGTGCTCCAGGGGCTGCTTTACAGGCCAAGGCTCCATCCTCTGCATCATCCAGGAGCTTGGCCTGGTCCTGAGAAGGCTTCTGTAATAGGATAAAGTGGTCCAGCGTCATATGGGTAATCACCAGTTAATAATAAAAGAAGTATCAGGAGAACCTGTTCTGTGGCCCATACTGGGCAGTGAAAGTGGTTCGAGGCCATAGTCCTTGCTTTCAGACACATGCACAGGGACCACAAGATAAAGGGAAGGCCCACAGGTGGACACTAGAGCAGCCTCTGCCTTCAGCCTCATCTCTAGCTGAGTGTTGCTACCTTTTTCAAATTTTGAGAGAGGCTGGGAATCTCAATTTCTGTCATTTTTTCCTTGACTTAAGATGTTAGCAACAAATTCACATTTTTTTCAAGTAACCACAGGTGGCCATTTTGCCACCACTGGTATGGCTGGTATAAACACACAGGCTTAGGACCTAGATGAATCTGGACCCCCATTCTGGCTTTGTTACATGCAGGTTGAATCAATATCTTGTATCCAAAATGCTTGGGACCAAAATGTTTTGGATTTTGGATTTTGGGAGATTTTTGAAATACTTGTATGTAAATAATGAAGTACCTTGGGGATGGAACCCAATTCTAAATAAGAAGTTCATTGATGTGTCATATATATACCTTATACACATTCCCTGAAGGTATTTATTTTCCCAAAGTGATGCACAATTAAATAATTTTATTGTTGTTGACTATGTCATTATTATTACATTAAATATATTTTCTTATGTATATGAAACTTTTAATATACACCAATAACATGCTCATTGAAAAAATTATAAAATAAATACCCACGTACTACCCACTTTAAGAAATAAAATAACCACTATCTTTAAAATACACATTCATGTCCTTCTCCCCCAAAGATAATTTTTAACATAATGTTTTATGTAATCTTGTGCATGAAATAAAGTTTCATAAAGCGAATTTTTCCACTTGTATCATTTTTGTGCTCCAAATATTTAGGATTTTGGAGCGTTTTTGATTTTCAGATTAGGGTTGCTCAGTCTGTATTAGTGAATAGCAAAAAAAACTAAAACAAAAAACTTTTGGTGACTCAGTTTCCCTCAGGAGTAAGGTGAAAAAGTTGTAACTTAGCCCTTTGAAGTGGTTGAGGGGGGAAAATGAAATGATGCATCTAATATCACCATTAGTGCCCAGAGAAATCGCAACACCCTTGTCTGTTTGCAGGAAGCCATTTTGCCAGAGACACTTATCCTCCCAGTAACATGGAGGGCTATTGTTCAGTTTAGTAGCCATTGGCCACATGTGGCTATTTAAATGGATATTAAGTAACTAAAATGAAATAAATTAAAAGTTGGGTTCCTCATCTGTTTGTCCCAGGCACTCAACAGCCACAAGTGACTGATAGCTGGCATGTCAAACAGCTCAGATGCAGATTTGCAGCACCATGGAAAGTTATCTAGGACAGTGCTGCAGTAGAAATTTTGAGGACAAGATGGTGTCATATCCCTGTGGATCTTGAGGTCCCACCTCTATTTTTGTCCTGTGGATCCTGAAGAACTTGTCCAGTGTCAGATCTCCAAGAAAGGGCAGCAGATAACCAGCATCTTGTCTTCCACCTGTTCTGTGTCAGTCTTGATCATTCTGTCCTCACGTCCCACCCAGTCAGTGCCTATGTCCTGTGGATTCTCCCTCCTGATCTGTCCTCTCATTTCTTTCCATTCCAGCCATTTTTGGCACCTCCCGGTGTGGCTGTGGCTCACTCCTTTCCGTTGTCCTCCCTGTCTGCAGGTGACTTTTCAAAAGTCAGATCTCACTCTGTCGCTTTGGTTGCTCCTCACAGCTCTCAGGATGAGTTCTAGGCCTGGCCACACAGAGGTCTCATCCCTCACCACTACCTACCTCCTCCCTTCGGTTTCTGTAGTTCACTGTTCATTCTTCATCTTCCCTGGGGTCTCAGCTAAGCCTTCCCATCCTGGGGCCTTTCCAGCCCCCAGGGCTGAGTTGGCTGGCGGTTGTACCCTGACAGCCTCGTGGGCTTTCCCTTGCTGTGTCACTGGTGCTTTTCCTCCCTGTACCCCCACTAGATGTTTGCACCTGAGGACTGACCCTGTCCCTGCTGTGCTTTTAGCACGTAGCACCATGCTGGGCACATAGCATGTGCCTCTGAGATGCTACGTGACCAGATGAGCAAAGGCTGTAGAGGAGCGTGGGCTCACGTGCAGCTCAGTTTCTGCCTGGTGGCCTGGTTGTCTAGACTTCTGCTAGGTGGGAAATGGGGCACAGGTGAGGGCCACATGAAGGTGCCTGGGGTAATGTATGTGTGATCTTTCTCTCCAACAGCTGGCAGGCTCTGGGTCTCGCCGGGATCAGGCCCGGCAGCTGGTCATAGATCTTGAGACCCGAGGGAGGCAGGCCCTTCCTTTGTTCATCTCCTGCTTAGAGGACACGGGCCAGGACACACTGGCTTCATTGCTGCGGACAAGTCGGCAAGCGGTAAAGCGGGATCCTGAGGCCGTCAGATCCCTGGACCTTGTGCCAGAGGAGCTGCGTGTGATGATGCTGGATCCAGTGAAGCCAGCCTTAGGAAAACTCACCCCGGTGGTGCTGGGGCCCAGGGAGCTCCCGCCAGCTAAGCTCAGGCCAGAAGTTCTCAGGCCAGTGGACGTTGGTTCTGGAGAATTCAGGGATGCCCGTGAGTACTGAGAGGGTGGTTGGTGGGTGGGCATGATGCGTGGTCACTGGTGACTGGGTACGGCTAGGTAGGCTGAGGTTCAGAATTCAATCATGGTGTTGCCTTACTGAGTGCTGATAGGTGGAACATTCTAGTAGGTCTTCAGAGACATAATTTTGGCAGGTGCTGAATTCTATTTTGGGTGTCCCTGTTTTTGATCAGAGTGTTGAAGCCCAGCTGTTCTGGATTTGCCTTTGGGTCGTGGTGAGTAGCTTGGACTAGCCCATGGCTTGTGGCAGAAGGGGGTCAGCCTAGCGTGGCGTACACCCTGACCTCCTTCCCTCACAGCAGCCCTAAAAGGCAGTATTTAGTGCTGTCTGTCCTGAGTGACAGGAATGAAGCCAGGTCCAGGGAGGTGAAATATTTGCCTGAAGTCACAAGGTTACATCCAGTAACATGCATAAATCCCCGGAGTGCAGCTGGATGATTCTCTCCACACAGGTAACCACTGCCCAGTTCGTCATGGTACAGAATATTCCAGTGTCTTAGGAGACTCTTCTCTTTCCGTCTGTCCCCCTTCTCAGCCTGAGGTAGTCATTGTTCCAGTCTCTGTCATCATTGATCCCTTTTGCTTGAAGTGCAACGTGAGTGACATCCCATGTGAGAGTCTGGAGTCTCTGGCTTCTTCCTGTCATATCTGTGGGATCCAGTCACTGTGCTGTGCGGTCAATACTTTATTCCATGCGGATGGTGGCAACTCCTATTCTGAACAGCTTAGGGTTTATCTAACCTCCTGTTGGTGGTTTATTGTCAGTTAGGGCTTTGCCTCCAGGGATATTTCATGTCCCCCACCCCTACCTCCAGGCACTCTACCACAGAGCTATTTCTCTAGCCCATTTTATACTTTATTTTCAGATGGGGTCTCACTAAGTGTCCCAGATTGGCCTTGAATTTAGGATCCTCTGCCTCAGCCTTGTGGGATTACAGTGTGCACAACCTCACCTGGCATGTGCTTCCTGTTCTGTGACTGCCTAAGGGACCCCTGTGTGGCATTGAGCTAGTAACAACAGTAGGGTTAGGTCATCCACTGCTTGCTGTCTGCCAAGTGCTTGCATGATTTAATTTAATCTTTCCAACTCGGGTGAAGCAGGTGCTATGGTTTTCCTATTTTACTGTTGAACAAAGTAAGAAGAGTCTTTATTTAGCTGCCTGGCCATGACTGCTCCCCCACAAGACCCATAAGTGTCTCTGCAAGGAACAGTCCCGAGCCTGAGCATTTTAGGACAGTTAAAGGCAAAAACCACATCCGGGTTGCCGTAGCTGCAAGCAAGCAGGTACAGCAGCTGAGCTGGGCAGTTATCAAGACGATGCAACGGGTACATTGGTATTTCCCACAGGACTTTCCAGGTTGGCATGGCAGCAAGCCAGCAGAAGGGAAGGGGGTCAAAATGACCCTAGTTCAGTACATGTTAGAGAATGGTTACTAATGTCTAGACAGTCAATCTTGACAAGGTACGTTGCCCAAGAAAAATGGAAACCAGGGGCTAGGGATGTGGCTCAAGCGGTAGCGCGCTCGCCTGGCATGCGTGCGGCCCGGGGCCTCAGCACCACATACAAACAAGGATGTTGTGTCTGCCGATAACTAAAAAAATAAATATTAAAAAATTCTCTCTCTCACTCTCTCTTAAAAAAATGGAAACCAAAGAGAACAATTTTACATTGTATAAGAATTGCTATTTTGTGTTGCCAAGTATGCTCTGCTAGGTGACTATTAGTGGGAACAGAGGCGGGCTTTCCCATGGGAGAAGCCTTTCGTACATGATAAGGAGTCTCAGGGTAAAATGGAGTCTGGCTTATAACAACGTATATCTTCAAAAGAAATCGTGGTTATCCCTCTGATAGATGCTACCAGCTTGGCTTTCAAAAATGTGTTTTGTAATCTCGTGAAGTGAGGGTAGAGGTGCTCCTTCCTCCGCGTCCTTGCCAACAGTGACTGCCCTTTTTGATGCCTTACACGTTTTCCTGTGAGCCGTGTGAGAAGTGCTGTCTGTCCTGATGACTGTGACTTCAGACAGCCTGCTAAAGCAGAGCAGCCAACAACATGAGGAAGTGAGGTTCTGGAATTGTTCTTATGCATTATTGCCTGGCTAGGGAAGAGGCAGGCAACATACAAAGTTCCCATGTTGCCGTCTGGTTCTGAGAAGTGTCTGTTTGAGTCATTTAGGACCAACGGTCTGGACTTGAAGTGTGCTGTCCTAAGGGTAGATAGATGATACTAGTGATAATAGGATCACCTTAAATATGAATATCACTTTACTGTGCATGCTGTTTTTTTCTAGGTGGTCTAAACTGTACTATGGCCATATGCGGTGGTGCACACACCTGTAATCCCACAACTCAGAGGCTGAGGCAGGAGGATCATAAGTTGGAGGCCAGTCTGGGCAACTTAGTGAGACCTTGTGTCAAGATAAAATAAAAAGGAACATACGTTATATATAGAGATATGAAAAATTGTGCTCTATATGTGTAATAAGAATTGTAATGAAAAAAAAAAGATAAATAAAAAGGGCTGGGATGTAACTCAGTGGTAGAACACTAGGTTTCCATCCCCAGTACCAAAAAATCAAAAGCCCCAAAACACTAAAAAACCTCAAGAAGTAAACAAACAAATGATGCCGGGTAGTGGCGGGCAGGGAAAGCCCCTCTGTTATCATCTCCAGTTTGTAGGGGAAGAAGTGGGCCTCTGAGAGCAGGTCACATGAGGGTTCCGGTGCAGCACTGGGCTCTGACTTCTGGTGCTGGTCAGTTGTCCTTTTTAGGTGCTGGGCATGAGGTCATGGGCACTATCCAGGGTTTTCTTAGGTGGATTTCCTTCTGCAGTTGAGGGTAGGAACATCTGGGCTACGGCAGCAGGGCCACTGGCAGGACTTCACAGGGCCTTTGCTGAGTCGGCCCGGGAAGGGTGCTGTAGGAAGGTCAGTGTGTCTGAGCAAAGAGCAATTTTTATTTTGTCCCCTTCCCCAGGGATGTTTGGCAGTGCCTAGAGGTACATCTAGTCATTACTGCTGAAGGTAAGTGGGTGCTGCTGGCATCTGGTGGGTACAGGCTGTGTATGTGGCTGTACATCCCATGACACATGGGATAGCCATACAAAATAGAGTAACCCAGCCCAAAATGTCAGGGTGCTGGTTAGTACCCCTGCTGCTCTGGAGCAGGAGTGTAAATAAAAACAAAAATGGGCACACTCAGTGTTACTAAGCTGTCGATTATGGCAGGACTGATGTGCCCATCAACTGGGAACTCACCACAACCCTGATGCTGGCAGCTGCTTCTCTTATCTTGGGATACAGAAGGGGGAACAGAGGCTCAGAGACTCTGAGCAACTTGCCCAGGGTCATGCAGCAGATAAGTGGCAGGGCTAGGATTTGAACCTTGGCTCCAAGATCTCACTCACTCCATCTACTGCCTCAAAGAACAAATGGCTCATCTTCTTACTTGTCTCCGTTTATGTGCCACCAGAGCACGTGGCTTTGTCTCTGTATATTGGGGGGAAATGTGTTTGCTTCAGAATGGAATGAGCTTTTAAAATGGGATGGCTCGGTGGCGGGTGCTGGGGTTGTGGCTCAGCAGTAGAGTACTTGCCTTGCATGCACGAGACCCTGGATTCGATCCTCAGCACCACATAAAAATAAATAAGTGAAATAAAAGTATTATGTCCACCTATAACTAAAAAATAAATATTAAAAAAAAAATGTGATGGCTCGTGTGTGGCTGCTTGTTCCAGCCAGGGCCTCCTGCAGTAGGGAGCTGGGAGAGCTGTTGGTGGCTGTATCAGGCAGGGTTCTTCTGAGAAACAGGACCAACAGTCTCTGTGTACATACGCATCTAGAAAGAAACTTATCATAAGGAATTGGCTCTTGTGATTATGGAGGCTGAGAAGTCCACGACCTGCTGTCCCCAGGCTGCAGACCCAGCTCTGCAATCCTGGTTCATGTAACTCTGGTTCGAGTCCAAAGGCCTGAGAACCAGGCGCACTCAAGTGTCAGTCCCAGTCTGGAGATGGAAGTGTGACGTCCCAGCTCCAGCAGTCAGGCAGAGAGAGCGAATTTCCCTTCCTCCGCTTTTTTGTTCTTCTCAGGCCCCTGGCGAGTGGGGGAGGCCTGCCATGCTGGGCCGGGCCCCTGCTCTGCCCAGTCCACTGAGCCAACCATCTCCTCCAGAAGCTCATCACAGACACACCCACAGGTAATGGCTAACCAGATACCTGGGCACCTTGTTGCCCAGTCAAGTTGACACAAAAATCAATCACCACCATGACTTTCTCTGCTCGTGCCCTATCTGGGTTGGAATTTTCTTGAAAGTAGAAGTTGGCTCTCTGAGTCTCTGATTCTCTCTGGCTCAAAGGGACAAATGACAGCACTTCCTTGTTGGAAGCACAGCTCCAAGGGTGAGTGAGGCAGCCCTGGGAAAGGACTTCACCCAGGGCCTCACATTGCCTGAGCCTGGATCCAGTCGGTCAGCTCGCTGCCTCTGATTTCTGAATTGCCAGGGCTGCTGAGGGGCTAGTTCTGCAC